GACTCTTGTTTCACATTTTCATCAAATACCTGCAGATGTTTGAGTGCTTTGGTTTTTTACTTTTTCTCAGGCACCTGGAGAAGTTGTCCGACCTGTTTGAGAAGCTCAGGGTAAGACGGACTCTGATCGGCCTTTTGTAAATATTTGTCCTATTTTATATGTGCTTCATGCCTTTGTTTGTGTCCCTGCAGAAAGTGGAGGGACGAGTAGCATCAGACCAGGAGCTGAAACTCACAGAGCTGCTCAGATATTACATGAGAGACATCCAGGCCGCCAAGGTGAGACACGTTCATCTTCTGCCTCCGTACAAGATGTTAATATGCACATCTTTGTTTTTTTTTCATAAAAAGAAAGCAGAGCACAGCTGGAGCTCCACATACACACACACAGTCAGACATTCACACACAGCGCTGCTCTCCCTCCGCTGATCGTCTCGCCCCTGTAACGCCTCTGTTACTACCTCAGAAGACGGTACAGAGGGATCACATCCTCCCCCATTACACTTTTGCGACATTCAGACTGAAGACTAAACTTTAAAGGGACATAAATATTGTACCTTTAAACAGCGGATTCAGACCAGAGCAAACAAACTGTAGATGTGAAAACGTCCAATGTGAGCTTGCAACTTTGACTTTTTCATACAAAAAATCATATCAAAGTTCAGATAACTTTGAGGATAGCTAAATAGATAGATACTTTATTGATCCGAGGGAAATTCAAGATTGTCGCACCACACAACTGAACAGGTAAAATAAGGTAAACCAGGCCAAAGTACCCGATTACCTGACTTTATTGATCCCAAACTGGGAAATTGTGGTGTTACAGCAGCAGGTTATCAGAGCAAATAAAACAATATAAGAATAGATACATAAATAAGCACTTAGAATATAAAAAATAAGAATAAGAAGAGATTTATACATCAAGGATTTAACTTGACATTCTTACTGGTTAAATACAACATTTATTCAGGCTTGTCAATTGAATGTAAAAATACTTGCTGGATCAAACTGTGACTCTTACAATTCTGAATGTTTAACCATCTCGAAACCCTCCAGGATCTTCTGTACAGGCGAGCCCGGGCGTTAGCCGACTACGAGAACTCTAACAAGGCTTTGGATAAAGCTCGACTGAAGAGTAAAGACATCCCTCAGGCCGAGGAGCACCAGCAGCACTGCCTGCAGAAATTTGACAAGCTCTCCGAGTCCGGGAAGAAAGGTCTGTGCATTCCTCCTGGCTCAAATCTCCACGTCCTTCTCTCTGATTTAAATGCGATGCTTTGTGCATGGTTTGAAAATGTTTCTCTTCGTAGAACTGACCAGTTTTAAGGGAAGGCGTGTCATCGCCTTCAGGAAGAACCTCATCGAGATGGCCGAGCTCGAGATTAAACACGCCAAGGTGAGCAGAACGGTGCAGCCGGCGGTGTGAGAATGTGTCTCTTAACCATCATCAGCATCACCTCCTCTGAATAGAGAACAAACCATATGATGTATTTTTGTAGGCCAACCCTGAAGTAACATCTCCATGAGGTCTAACCAGAATCCTCCTCTGGGATGTTTTCATTGGATTTTGGATCATTGCAGAAAATAATCTCTGTGTTAAACACACGTTTCTGAAGCGTAGGCGTTTTGTTCAGCAGGATAATCTTCACAGATGAACGCCATTTTTATGATGTTTGAAGAGTTAATGAGGCCGACAGAAGTAAAAAGCTAACGTTATGCTACAAGCTAACTACACCACGGTGGGATGATTGTGACGTCACTAGCGTTACGCTTCAGACGATCTCTGATAAACTAATCCACGTAGTTTAATAAATAGTTTACTAACATAATCTTCACCTGAACCTAAAGATTAAACCTACAGGAGACATCTCCGACTAGTGAGAGAGTTCCCGCCCTCTGTGTCCGGCGTGATGACCTTTAATGTCCCCGACAACCACTGTAGTCACATTTAGCCGCTTGTTAGCAACCGCCTTTTTAAAGACGAGTAAAAACTTCAAACTTCACAAGTGGAGGTATTACCTAACGTAGTTTATGTGCTCTAACAAAACACCAACATCTCTCCAGCTTGTGTTAACCACAGACCTTATTTCAGGAGTCTAACCACAAACACATTCAAAATCCCCGTTGACTTTTAGACGTTAGACCCCATGGCGCTCAAATACTAACTCACTTCCTGTTTTTAGGACTCATTCCTGTGGCACTTTATAACGGATGAATCCTGTTTTCTTCCTCGTCTCCACAGAACAACGTGACTCTATTGCAGGGATGCATCGATCAGCTGAAGAGCTACTGATGTGTTTCTCAGTACTTCCTGTCCCACCATCACCATCACCAAGTGACCAGTCATAGCAAAACAGGAAACATGGCGTCCCCCTGGGGGCCCTCGCACAAACATGAATCCAAGCCCCCTCTCTGCTTCCACCCACGGGTCTGATGCCACTTACAAAAAAAAATTTAAAAACCCTGCACGAGAACAAGTGTCTTGTAAGCAGAACGTCTTCATGTTTACAGAATCCCTGTCCTCTGCCCCGTGGTCCGTCTCGTTCCAATATTTACGGAGGGCCTGATTGTAAACGCCTTCAAACGAAGAGGCCACAAACACGACTGACTTCCATTTTTTCTGCAGCACAAATAGACATGATTTCCTTTTTCACCCTCATTTCTTTTTTTCTCATTTTGACATCGAGCACAAACTGACAATTTTGCCTTTTTGTTTAGATTCTTGACGCTGAAGTTTTCTCTTATGTCCCCCTTTAAAAACCTTTTTAGAAGCGTTGAGGACGTCGTTTATTGCGTCGTCTGTTGGAGCGTTTTGTGTTTGCTAACAGAAGTTTACAGATCTAGTGCCTGTAAAAAAAATAAAAAAATAAAAAAAAACATCCTCATGCTCTGAAATTTAAAGTACAACCAAACGAGTACAGAAAGCCCGCGAACAGATCGTCTTCAAGTGTTTTATAAAAAAACAGCAGCACTTCACCTCAGGAATGGATCGTTGGGCGTGGCCTCAGATCCGGCAGGTTATCAAAGATGCACGGTAGTTTAGCGAGTCGTAAACGATTTCTGGGGAGGAAAAAGTGAAATAAAAAGCTCTACGAGCAGAAAGCATTTCTCAAAGGGAATTCAACTTTAGTTATTTAGTTTTATTTGCACAAACCCCCTCGTCATCTCCTCGGCACTTCTTTAAGACCTTCTGCAGCTTCTCCCCCCCCCTCCCCAACAAACGGCCTTCTTCACTCTTTTCATCGTGTCCTTCTTGATGTTTTTCTTTATCATGACCTAAATTTCCCCTTCTCTTTATTCCGATGGGGTCTGAACAACATTTTTCTAAGCAGTGTCTGTATTTTAAAGACGTTATATTATAAAAGAAAAAGATGCACTTAAACAATGAGAAATACTGAACGACCCCCCCCCCCCCCCGGCTCAGTGGAGTGTCAAAATGCATCGTAGTTTTGTACAAGATTGAATGTATTTCTAATGGATTCCTGCTGTGTGGGTTCCTTCACACGATCCTTTCATACAAAATATTATTAGCATTTTATAAATTTGTATTAATGGCATTGAATAAATCCTACTTTCCCACATTTGATCGGTGTCCTTTATTGTTTTCACTGTTTTTTGAGTCTTAAAAATCGAAATACACTGAATCTGACTTTTAAAGGGGCGGCTGTGGGTCAGTTGGTAGAGTCGGTCGACCCTCAACCGGAAGGTCAGGGGTTCGATCCCCAGCTCCTGCAGCCACATGTCCGATGTGTCCTTGAGCGAGACACTTAACCCCAAGTTGCTCCCGCTGCTTCCTCGGCTGTGTGTGAATGGGATCATATACTTCTGATGGTCTCTTCACTCAGCAGCCTCTACCATCAGTGTGTGAATGTGTAGATGTGACCTGAGGTGTAAAAGCACTTTGAAGAGTCAGAAGACGAGAAAATAAATAAACAAGCTTGAATCCATTTATCATCCCATTAAAAAAAAATTCTGCCGATCATTTACCTCCATCTGTTTGTTAATATAAAGGGGGGCGGCAGGAACTCGGTTCAAGTCCCGGTGTGGACCAAATCTGGAAATTGGTCTGGTAGCTGGAGAGGTGCCAGTTCACTTTCCGAGCCCTGTTGAGATGCCCTTGAGCAAGACACCAAACCCCCCCCCACCAGCTCTGGAGTACCTACCCCCTCACTCTGACACCTTTCAATCAGTGAATGTTAACAGGAAACTGTTTGTGCTCGTGTGTGTGTGTTTCAGCATGTGTGTGTGTAGCATGTTCAACAACAGAGAGTAAAAGTGATTTTCCCTCTTCAGGTTAACAGACTTCTTCTTCTTGTTGTTCACCACTTGGTGGCGACATCCCTCTAGTCTAATAACTATTTATAATGCTGTAATTTAAAAACAGTTCCCTGTGTTTTACAAATATAAAAGACAACAAAGTGCTGATAGAGAAAGTGTCAGTAAGCGATGCAGTGAGTGGAGGGGCGCTTCAAACCAGGATGTAAAAACAAAACAATTAAGTGAAGTTGGCCTGTACTTTTTGATACCACGAAAAGAAAGAAAGATGCAATCCCAGTTATCTTAGGATCAACTGTGTCTCCTTAAAAAATAATCAACCCACGCCTCACAACATGGACGGAGACTTACAGACAACAATAAATGAAACACAAAAAGAGATTTAAAAAAAGTATTTAGCATAAAAAGTCTGCACAGAAACACAAAAACATGAGGAGTGTTGAGTTTGTTTGTTTTTTTGCAGAGAGGCTGAAAGGTTTGAAATAAATAATGATACGTTTGACAAACTGGTAAAACATTATGTCATGCACTTAAAATAAAATGTCCAGAGGATCCCAAATGTCTTGAGAAAAGTCTCTGCGTCTGTAAAACCAGCAGAAGGAGTCCATCTCCCCAGTGTTCACATCAAGGCTCCTCGAGGATCTCAGAAGCTGCACATCTCTCCTATCCTCTGCTTCCTTCGTCCGTCAGGTTTGAGTGTGTGTGTGTGTGTGTGTGTGTGGGTGGTTCCTGTGAGTTTAAACAGCTGTGCAGCATGTTTGTGTTAAATCCATTGACTACAGTGACGAGGCTGCACGCTGCATTAAGTTGAGCTTTTGAGGAAATGCCACAGTGCTCATGGGAATGACCCAAAATGCACGTTTCATGACCTACTTTTACGAGCGTCGCTTAGCAACGTGATGTAAACGATAAACAAACCATTAATCATGCCGGTCTCTGCAGTGATAGTCAATGCATCTTCATCTATTTTATTTATTCATAAAGACAGGAAGACACACAAACACTGGAGGAGGGACACACTTTAAAGCATTTCTTTTTTGCATGTTTGCTCACCGCTTAGTAATAAGAGGAAAGGTCACCTGAGCGAGACGTACAGCACGTATAACCATCAGTAGCCTATAGGCAGATTAAACTGTACCTGTCCGTGATAACGTGTGTCAATATTGACACCACCAATAGTGCAGGCACTTTGACTTTTTTAAGTTCGGGGCCCACCAATTGGATGCACCCAAAGACTGCAGCCAATCAGATGGTTACACATTTTCAGAACAAACAGAAAAGTTTGCCAAGAAAGGATCGGAGCAAACAGAATGTGAAGGCATGGCGTTCAAGATTAAATAACTACCAATAAAACAAGGATATGATTTGTGACATGGAGGGGAGAAAGTTTCCCCGCAGAAGCATTTTTAGGGCTTTTTAAAAAAATGCCTTTATTTAGAGATAGGACAGTCAGGAGTGAGGAGGAGAGAGAGAGTGAGGAATGACGTGCTGGAAAGGGGCCACAGGTCAGATTCAATCCCGGGGCCGCCAACTTGGAGGAATATGGCCTCCGTACATGAGGCAGGCGCATTAACCACTAGGCCCCAAAAGTCCATTATTTAATGTGTGAATGATTTACAAATTAAATGTGAACTCTCATTCCTGAAACGTTGTGGCAGGATCATGTTTACCGCTCTGTTGCAACACTTCTTCCTCTAAGCCCAGAGATCAGTTTCTGTCAGTTTGAATCATTCGGGTGTTGTTGTCCCATTGTTGCTCAATACAGGATTTCAGTTCAACAGTTCAGGGTCTCTTTTGTCTTGTTTTGTAAAGCTGTTGGGGGTTATGTGCCTTGCTCAAAAGCCACTCAGCAGTACTCTGGAAGTGACCTAGCAACCAGAGCAACTTCCATATTTTGGTCCGCACCAGGACTTGAACAGTGACCCTGCAAAGTGATCTTTGTGCTTTTTTCTACCAAATATCTGGTTTCAATGTTTTGCAAATCATCACTTTGTATTTTATTTACAATTTACACAACGTCACAACTTTTTAGGGATTAGGGTTGTATGAAAAGTTTTAAAGGGGACATATAGTCCCCCTCCTCCACCTTTTCAAACAGTCCCCATGTCTTCTAAATGAAACATCTGTGCTGTGCTTTGGTCAAAATATAACATGAATCAAGCACCAGAGGAGGTTTGTGACCCTGTAGAAACCAGCTCTCTCAGAACGCTCCGTTTTGGTGTGTGTGTGTCTCTTCAAATGTAAAGAGATTTGTTTTCTAAGACTTATGCAGACCACAAACAAAGGACTGGATGGGTTTATTTCACATTTTGTGGGTCAGTAGACTCTCAGGTTACCCAAATAAATGCTCCAAAACCATGAAGAAGTGGATTTTTCATAATATGTCCCCTTTAAGCTCTGCTGTAACAACCTCTTAAAAGGAGATAAGGTGCAGAAATGTCCTTCAGGTTAACTTGCTCATCCAAAAGATGTCAGATTATTTTTTAACTATCCTTGTAAATGGTAAAAAGTCCAAATGTGTCAGGTTTAATTCCAGGTTTTAAAAAACGATAAAGATGAGGATACTTATGCATGGGACTGTAAGTAATTAAAGGCCCTGACATTGTCTCGGGTGTCATGGTCGACTAATTCTCTCACAGAGAACTAATTTCCCTTCACAGTCTGTTACTGATGTGGTTATATCAGTGCCAAACAGAAAAGTATCCGTCCCAAATTTAGTCTCCCTCATGTCCCCTTTGTGTGGCTGCTGTGTTATTATGATAAAGAACTTTCCTAATCACAAAGTTAAACTTCTGAGGCAATGATTTGCGGCCTAAAATTCAGCCTTCAGTGCTGTAAAAGAACATATCTGCTCGCCCTCAAAGACTCGTTCAGCCGAATTTATGAATATCCTTATCTCCCCTCAGGCAGGCTGAGATCATTTGTGAACTCTAAATGTGTGATAAGGAGACAATTCCGAACATTTTCACAGCTTTTTGGAGACACTATCAGTGCACGGAGATTAATTATTAATTCAACACAGTCTTTATGACCCCAATATGTTTCTTTTACTGTCTTGTCAGAATCCTAACTTACTTTTAATCTGCTCCTACGACCGGAACTTTGGAGAGCATGCTGCAAATCTACTCAAAGACAGAACAGAGCATCTCATGCTCTGTCATGTTACATCACTTTATTATCATAGGACATTAAAACCATAGACTGTTAAAACAGCAGGAACGTGCTGATGTAGTGTAGAATCCACCTCAGGTAAACATGACTAAAGGCCAAATGCTGCAAAAAGGAAGTCAAGCAGTCGTTTACAGGTTTGTACAACGCCTACACACTCGCTTTAAAAACTGTTCTCATCCCCTTTTGTGTGTTTTTGTACAACACTAGCGATAAAATCAGGAACAAAATTACAATGAACTAGAGATTATCAGGGCTGCACAGTGGTTAGAGGTGTTGCTTCACAGCGAGGAGGTTCCTGGTTTGAATCCCCGTCTGACAGGAGCCTCTCTGTGTGGAGTCTGCATGTTCTCCCCGTGCATGTGTGGGTTCTCTCCGGCTTCCTCCCACAATCCAAAGACATGCTCATTAGGTTAACTGGTGACTCCAAATGTGAGTGTGACTGGTTGTCTGTCTCTATGTCCACCAGCCCTGTGATTGGCTGGTGAACAGTCCAGGATGTAACCCCGCCTCACATCTAATGACAGCTGGGATCCCGAACAGGAAAAGCAGTATCACTCACTCACACAAGTACGGCCCATTTACAACCACCATGTTTCATATGTTTTATCTGTGTATGAGCTTTATCTGGGGAAATTGAAGTATGTCTGAGTCGTCTTGTACCGCTTTGTTTGAGGTCATGGTCAGGCGAACTGTAAACATGTCCTGTTCGCACCGAGTGGGCCTCTGAAACCAGCTGCTTCAGGTCCCACAGCTCCTCGCTGCTGAACTGAGAAGTCGTGGTAAACACAGACGTCCTGAAGCGTGACGGCCTCCTGAAACAGAAACCGTGTCCTCTTAAAGAGAGAACCTGCTTGGCCTGCAGACGAAGCTGAACTGTCAGCGCTTCCTCAGTGAAACAGAACAGGGTGCTCCTCTCAAGGAGCTGCTTCACCAAGATTCAGACTTCAATATTCAAGAGAAACATCAGACTGACTAATAAACAGATCTCTCCTGTTGCTGAGATACGAAGTGTTACATTACATTTCAATTCGATATGTTATGATACGTTGTTACTTTGTCGTTACGTTGTCATTACTCGTTACGTTGTCGTTACTCGTTACGTGGCCGTTATGTCGTTACGTTGCCGTTATGTCAT